CGGTTCGTACAAGTGACCCTGCTAGTGGGGATTATACACTAGTAAATCGTGTGCCTGCCAGTGGGAAGTTTAATACACTGGCCATGACCTATAGAGGAGACGTCTATTTCGTTCCCGTATTGTATTCGTTTTGCGTGATTGCACATGTTGGCATGCTATAAGTTTAATAAGGGGCACTCCATATTTACTTACTGAGTTTATCTCATAGTTTTTCCTTGTCTACCATTTCAGGAAGTGAAACCGAGGACGGGAAAACCACGGGAAGTGACGAGTTAGAAAGCTAGCCATTTCGAGATTGATATAGATTTTAGAAATAAATCGTGATTTTGTAAGCTAGAGTGTATTTGGAGATTTATGATATCAGAGAAATTTTAATGATTTGATCTTCAGATTTTGATGGTATCAGATTATGATATGATAAGTTCCGAGCCTTATGCATTTGTGGGACCCTCTCACGAGTGCACGGCGTCTGTCGCGCCTCGAATTCGGGTTTTGGGGCGTGATAGATTTAGTGGTATCAGAGCTTAGGTTTAAATTAAGAGTTTAGGATTAAGTTGAGCACCTCCAGATTGAGTGGCATCAGAGCAGATTGAGTGGTATCGAGCTTAGATTTAATTGAATACCTAGGATTTGTTTTGGACTTGGCTAGCCAGTGGATTTTAGTACCGTGGTGAGACGAGTGATGGGGTTATATAAGGGACGATTCTAATTTGTGTTGCCTGAATTTCTAATCCATTTCGATGAGATGGTGATCTGATTGTTCTTGTTTCTTGCCTTCATACTCTGTGTATATTCAAGAAATTAATCTTGCCCGTCATATTCTTAAGACTTTGTTTTGAAACTTGGTCATTTTTGATAGTCTGCACTTGTTTAGACTTGTTACGTGAATAGAATTTTTGTGTGCTCTTTTGCCACAATTTTGAAATCTGGGGAGTTGTAGAGATCTTTTGTTATTGACTTTGTTTGTCTCTACAGCATAGCTGGTTGAGAAATTTGCTCTGTTTGTCACATGACCAGTGGAAGGTGGGCAACCCTCGACTTTGTAAGAGATTCCAGGCTATTTTAGCAAATGTTGTGTGTTTTCTAGCTGCGTTTTAGGAGCTGGATTACTTGGTAATTCCGTTGCTCCTTATCTCTCTAAAAGTCTTATAGTGAAGTTTCACTTTTTCCATTTGGAGCTTCATGGTCTTTTCATGTGGCTCATTTTTTCTATATTGGTTAATCAAGAATAGTGATCATTCAATTGAAATTGCCATATTTTTGTGAAGATTGGCAAGTTGTTGTAAAGTTAAACTCTCTATGGTTGCCAATCTCTATATTCTTGATACTTGGAAATTGCTTGAAACTCCTAAAATCCGTCTTGAATCTTTCTTGATACTGCTTTGTACTTGTTCTTGAAACTGAAATCCAGAAATGGATAATGATTATTGAAATCCTCATTATCTTGATTCTTGTCTGAAATTAATTCTTGCATTGTTCTTGAAATCTAGTTTGAATTGTCCTTGAAAACCACTCTTGTCCTGACCCTTGCTCTTGTTCAAATTCTGTATACTGCTCTTGCTCAAATCCTGTATATTCTGCTAGTTCTTGTTTCGATATACCTATTGATCTTCTTGATGTTGATTTTTGTTCATATGGACACCTCTTTAGGAGGGGTGACGATTATCAGAAGATACCTATATGAGGTATCCTAATTCCTGTCTCTTGCAAGTGTTAATCTCTGTATCCTTGATGTCTTAGCTTTGATTTGACTCTAGGATGTCTAGGATCACTTGATTGTAAATCTGCTTAGCCTCTATGGGCTACGAGGTGAAGGGGTAGTCTTTGAAGTACCTGATGCCCTAGAGTTTTGTTGCAAGAGAAATGATTCTTTTATCTGGTTACTTGGATTTTTGTTTGCCCTTTTAATTAGAAGACATGAATCTTCTAAGCATCTTGATCCCAGCCATTGCTTTGTTCTGTTAATTAATTCTAGTATTTGAGGTGCTAGATCTTGACATCCTAGTTATCTCTGCTCTTGAATCCGTGTTCTGGTTGTCATTATTGAAATCTCTTTTGTGGGCCTAATCCTGGAATTCTATTTCTTGTTTCATGGTTAACTCTTGTCTCTCAATTTTGATTGCTTGGTTAAATTTTGATCTTGATTCTTGGTGAATGCTGTTTTGTTGTTGAATTTTTTTGAGGCATTCTACCTTGCACTCTTATGTTCTAGTATTCTTCCAAGCATTCATATTTTCCATTGATTTCATTCTGGTACTATTCTGGAAATTCACATGTCATTGATGGGTTTAGCTTTTAACTCTTGTTAATTGCTAAAATCTGTCTCTTGATTCCAATTGCTTTGTTAAACATGACCTTGCTTGTTGGTTAACCTTGTTGTGGCAGAATTTATAAGGCATCCATGCACTTGTTCATTCATTCATGATTCGTATATCCATTGGATGCTTATCTGTCCTTACTAGAGTTCAAAGTTTTGTTGTACTCGTCGTTAAATCCATGCCATTCTTTGCCAACTCGTCTTGTGTTGGGTTCGTAGCGTAACCCCACAATTGTTCTTTTGTGGCTTTGGCAAGATTTATTTCTATTCCTTGTGCTTCTCATATCACCCCAGCCTCTAGTAGCTTGTTTTCATGGTAAGCCCTGTTAAGTAGTTAATGTTCTGCTTTTAGGATTAGTTGTGATTTGATATCAGAGTGGCGCAACGGAAGTGTAATAGGCTAGGTTCTGATCGTGGAAAGTCAGTGGGGCATTTGTTGCCTTGGATTGGGTGAAGCCATGCACCACTTGAGATGACCCTAGATTCGAGTATTGGGGACAAAACTCCTTTTTAGGAGGGGTGAATGTGATATCCCAAATTTTCAGGAATTTTATCATATAAGTTAGGGACTTGATTGTGAGAAAAGATTGTTTTGGGCCCTAATGTGAATATTTTGAAAGCTGAGGGACTTAAAAAGGG